TTACACATGATATTGCTCAGAGCACAAAGCATATAGTTAGACTAAATTGATCTACTCATTGTCACAGATAACTGATCTAGAATTTTTTTCAATATTGGAACCAATACAGATATTATTGGATTGGTGCAGCTCTAGTTGATATGCTCCAAAGCCTGATTCACATTGTCTTTTTTTGGGGTAACATTTAAAAAATTTGCTTGCAATTCGCATGACTATTGGATGAAAACATGACTATAGTTAGCTTAATTTTCCACTGTGAACTGCACTTACTGTAGTTGTGAATGCGTGTCTGAGCTTGACTTGTAATGGGCCCTGGTTTGTGCCCTGCCTCTCGCACTATGAACAGTGTTAGATATAACATTTGGTGGGACTTTTGTATTCTTTTCCTAAACTAACAGTGTTAGTTTAAATGAAAATCCAGCCATACATGGGAAACTTTGGAGACCAAATACTTCTCATGCCTTTCATCATCTCTTGTTAGCCAAGAGTGAAGTGCATACGACAGCTCTTACGCCTGAGAGTAGCTCACTTCCAACAGTTACTTTATGACAAAAGCCACAGTGGCGCTAAAAGCCTCAGAATCACTGAAGAGACCACACATACTGTACAGCTGATGGGACCGGCTCCTCATTCGCCTCTTAATAGAAGTCTTTGTGTTCGTCAGCAACCCCTTTAAGAGTTTTCTTTGGGTTTGAGCCTGAGTATAGTAACAGTTTGAGTCTCAAAACATGGGTTTTCATCTCTGAGTGGCCGTGTTAATGGAATTGAGTCATAATAGCTCCCTGTTCTTAGCGCTTTGAAAACTGCTAATGAATCGCATGTGTTGGTGGTGTGTGTGTGTGTGTGTGTGTGTGTGTGTGTGTGTGTGTGTGTGTGTGTGTGTGTGTGTGTGTGTGTGTGTGTGTGTGTGTGTGTAAGGTACAGTAGTGCAGTGTGGTGTTGGCAGTAGGTGGTCCTGCCTGACTGTTGGTATGTGTGTGTGTTATGTTGTAAAGGGGGTGGTCTTCTTTCTGATCCTTTTACAGGTTACAGTATGTATGTGGTGGTTCTTAATGCCACACTGGAGTTCAAATGTTGGTTCCTCTATTAGAGCCTCACATCATGCCGGTGGTGCTTGAAAGCTGGCATCACCTCACAGGTTCTACACATTTTGTCTGGTTTGATCCACTTAGGATGCTTTTCCTGCAAACGTTAGTCTGTGTTAGCAGAACTGTGCATCGTCTCTACATCCCCTCTACAAGCTGTGTAACACAATAAAGATGTCCTGTGCAAAAGAATAGTAGTATGTTGTTTCTGTCGGCAACAGAAGCAGATCTCAGTAAGACTCTTAAGATTCACAAATCTCATTCCTGCAACCTTCTGTCTAATTCCAGTCTGATAGTGTGCTAAAGTCAGCATTAAAGCAGCTTAGTCAGCTCAGTGTTGCATTACCTTTCATTAATCATAATTCATTATTTTGAGCCTGTGATATCACAAAACGATGGTGAATTTTCACTCTTAAAGACCTATGATTGCAGGTCACATTGGATCCAGTTCTGTGGATTCTGCCACTTTCTGTCCTGCTCTTCAGGAATTCTTGCGGTACATTCAAACAATAGGTTTTAAAACTTTAAAACATTCAGACATGATGGTTTTTACGGTTTCGGTTACCAGCTATGAAGCACATTGAGAAATAGATGAAACAGACATAGATTCATTAAAAGTGGTGAATAATAGCACCACAAAGGTTTGAATAGGCAGCTAGCATTATGCTGAATTATAAGTGGCTTTTTCTTGGTTTTTCTCTTCTTCTTCATGTTTCTGATGATTGTTAAACTGTTGAAACCACTGCTGGGTTAGCAGGACATGAGACTTTCATGTTATGGGGTTTTATGTAAATACTGGATATTATTTTTTTAAAATATCTGAAATCCTGCCAACTGTCCTCTCCTGTTTTAGTTAAAACTACACAGTTTCCCTTTCTGGAAGACTGTAGTTTTAAGTCGTTAGGAGACACAAAGCAAAAACCTTAAACTGCTGCTGCACAAGTACCTCAACAGGTCGTTGCTAGGCAACCAAAGAGCGAGTAAGTGAATGCTACCGATGTTGGCTATGGGGAGTTGAGCGGTTAAGGTTTTCCTCTGCCTACATCGCCCAGAATGCTGTGCAATTCTGGATCGGAGTTCAATGAAATTATTGAATATTCTATCAGGCGTGTTTTCTATTGAAATTGATTGTGCATCTATCGTGATTATTGATTTATGTCTAGTCTATCTGAAGTGGTGTTTTTGATTGACAGCCATTTCTGGGTCATGTGGACAAGATGTATGTTAAAAGCAAAGCCTAATTTTACATACAGCAAGTCATGACTGAAGCAACTATATGCTGAGCAAATGAAAAACATGGAAGATAATGACTAAAAGCCACAAAAGCATGAGACATGACCCCATGCTCAGCCTGTTGCAGCTGTCTTGCTTCAGAATAATTGATTTTGAACCGCAATGTTAAAGTCTTTTTGTCTAAATTAATTATTTAAATTGACGGTAAAAATTCTGCAGGGAATCTTCTGGTCTTAATAAGCTCTTACTAAACAAAACTTGTCATGATTATGTGGTCAGTTCCCTTTGTAAAGGTGGATCTTTTAAATGTTTTTAGGGTTTTGCAACAAACAAGAACAGCATGTGAAAACAAAGTCTTATTCCAACAGCAGTTTATCAGTCTTAGTTCTGCACTGCACTCCCCATTGTTTCTTTAAGTCATTGTATTTTATTCATTTCCCCGTTTCAATCTCACTTGTGATTTCTTGTTTGTGAACCTAAATTTTCCACCATCAAATAAAGAAAAATTCACAAAATGCTGAATTGTTATTAATGAACAATAAGTTCTACATAAAGTAATTCTCATGTTAAAGAACTCGCCACTGTCACACACTTTTCTCTTTTACATGACAGAAATAAACACAGCCCTCAGTGTAGATGGATGAAAGGATTTTTTTTCCATCCTGCCTCTTGGGGCCTCTCCTTTACGACTGAATCATGAAGGTTTTCCTTTGGATGTTCACACTGCGTTCTGCTGGAAGAAGCTTTCATGTCTCTTTCAGATGGTATCAGTTAGCCGGTTGAGTCATTCCGAGCCGTGCTTTCTTTAGACTGATTACTTTTCCTTGAATGGAAATTAAATACTAATCATACACTAACTGAAAGAGGACGCAAAGTAGAGAGTTTACTTCCTTCCCATTTTTGTTTTCTTTTGTTGTAATTCTTCCTCCGTCCTTTGTTCCCAAAAAGTAGAGCTTTCTGAGCACTGCCTGGAGGTTATCCATTATGCACAAGATCATGTGTTCACAGGCTGAAACTACAAAAACTTACTGTATATTCCAGTTATTAGTTCAAGCAAGGTTTCAGAAACTGTTGGAAGTGGACATTTCACCCTGTGAACTATTACCTTTACTGCACATTCCTTCACTGCTGTTGTTTGAAGGTACGGAGATCTTCATTATTAAGTTGAATAACCTTTTGCACAAATATTATTATGTGATAACTACTGCTGTTATGGCCAGATAACTGACATTTCACTTTGTGTATTTACTTCCACTTTCAGCAATGTGTAAATGTGACTACACCACCTATATTCTGCTTTAAACCTGTGCTGCATCACCATAACTGTCATGACTGAAGAAATACAGAAACATAATGGAAATACACATAAATATTTATATCGGCACAGTTTTACTTATTGGACAGATCCTATTTGTTAAAAAGTGACTGTTGGCTGATACCAATGTAGATTCTGGTTTATTATGCATCTCTAGTTAAAAATACTCTGATGATAATCATGATGATTGCGCCACAGTAATGAATATGAGCAAAAGGCTATTTAGCAAAGATTTGTTGAACTTTCAAAGCAATATCTTCATTATATCTTTTAAATTATTATAAAAACGCATGTCTCGTAAAACATTAGTATGAATAGAAGTTAATAGTTTTACTATATATCCACTACTATTATTGTGCCATTCTGGTGTATTGCATTAGGTAGAAAATGACCTCCAGTCCTTACTGAGGTCATCTGTTGTCTCATCTTGAGGGGCTGATGTCTAAAAACCTCAAACTATCCACAGCATGCCAGCAAACTGCAGCAGATTTTATACAAAATTTCAGTCAGCCCATAATTCTTAAAGAGAAGCTGAAGAGGGAACCTGTATTTGAAGCTTCCAGTTTCCTTCTTAGTAGTAGGTCTAGTAAATGTGATGTCTCAACAAGGCATTTGCAGAGAGTTACAAATGTGTGTGTGTATGTATTTTTTTGTTTTGTTTGTTTTTTTAAACGGGAAACTTTAGCCAAACAACAGTGGAAATAAGAGTAAAACCAGCAGCATGGTGGACGGGGTGATGTGTCCGGTCTTGTTGTTCCTCGCTGGGCTGGTAATGATTAACAGGAAGTGGAGCCACAGTCCAGACTGTCGTGCTTTGGGGTCATAAACGCATCAACCTCCTAAAGCTGATCTCCTATCAATCCTCACATCTTTACCTTATTAAAGGCATTAATCCACAGTCTGGTTTATTTTTACTCCTTGTGTGTTGGATCCAGGTTTATGACGTGGGTTTCCACATTGGCTGCTTGTGTTTGTGGATTAGGTGCTGGTGCTTCACAGAAACAGGAAATGCAAAAGAAGGGTCCTGCCATTGGTTGAGTCAACCTCACAGGGGTTTACAACCCATCACCTCAATGATGTGGCCACATCATGTACTGGCATGACATCAGAAGAAGTCTGAACTTCCACAGACTGTTCTGTACTGACAGAACCTGCTGCAGGAGCTCATGAGTAGCTGATATCCCAGCCAGGTTTATGTGAAGAAATGAAACAAATATGTAGCTATTATTCAAATGGGTTGAAAACTTCTGACCTGTCTCTGACCATTTTCTTTACTTTGTGTTTGTTTCATTCCAACTTGGTGTGACATATGAGACATCCTATATTCTATACAGCCATGCTAAAGCTTTGCTTTGTTCTTGTTACAGTGTTGTGCTGACCAAGATGTCTTCTAAAGCTGTGAGTGGCAATAAACTGAATGGGCTCCGGCAGGTTGTACAGCAGCTGAGACAAGAGGCGAGAATTGAAAGGATGAAGGTAAACCACAGAACGAACATCTTCATTGGAAGGGACTGTTGAACCTTGCTGCTGTCTGTTTTAGGATTGTACTCCACCTCCTTCCTTACCCCCAAAACGCACTACTTGCATCCGACATTTTCACACTACGATCAGATGTGTAGCTGACGCCATAGACTCTGACCCAACAGTCCATCAGCAGATTCCCAATAACAAATATTGGCGTGAAAGTATGTACAGGAAATTCTGCCAATGTAAAGACAAGCCAGTCTGGCACTAAACACAAACACCTACTCGAACAAATTACACTACTTTTTTTGCTCGTAAAAAGATTTTTGCTTTTATTTTCTCTCAAAGTGGACGTGTGTTGCTTTACCCCGTAGCATTCATGACATTACACCAAAACAGACCTCAGGTCTATCTTGGTTGGACAGTCGGAGACACAGTCGCAGAGAATCATGAGCAATCGACTTTACCATGTTCCAGTTGTTGTGTGCATCATCTGACCGGATTGTTCATCAGATTGAATGCCAGTGTGTTTTGGCCCTTAGGCGCTCTGTAGTTCTAGATGTCCAACAGGGAAATAATGGATCACCTCCAATCTGGATTTGACTCAAAAGTTTCCAGCAGGTCAGACAGAATCACAGAAGTCAGATTCAAGAGAGATAGAGATAGTAGAAGAATCAACGCTAGCCAAAAAAAAACACAATATCTGGGTCCACAAAATATTTGACAGTGATCATAAATAAGTACTTTTGTATTCTATATTACCATTTATCAAGACATTTAAACATATACTCTACTATTTGAACTGTCCCTTAAGTCAGTGTTATTATGAAGGCGGTCTTGACCACATCACTTTGATTTGATGTCTGATAAGAACATCAGAAGCTCTGGCTCACATCTGTCTTATGGCTTTAAACACTACATAACACTGGACTACTATTTCACCTCAACATTTCTCATGTCTGACTCAGACAAGATGCAGATGTTAAACAATTGATATTATATCCATGGAGACCCATATCCAGCGCAAACTAGGAGCCATTATCTGCTCACATCACTCTGTTTAGATTTATTTGTATGTTTCAATTATAATCACATTCATTTTCTGGACATATAATTCTTGGCACTTTGATATTTGTTTTCCAAATTTAAATTGAAAATATGTGTGAAATGTTGTCAGGAAGTTTCACAGTTAGACAACTGTTCAAAAGCAGACAGGATGTTATGCAGAGACAAAACACAATGAGGTAAGTGATTGCGTAAAAAACCTCAGAACAACATGCAGGACTTCAGAGTCCACACGTCACACTACGAACAGAGGCAGGGTCTCTGGGTGAAGGACAAATAAGAGAAGGAGGAAACCAGTTCTTTTTTTTTTTTGCAGTTTTATGCGAGATCAAGGCTTTTAGGAACAATGCTCTGATGACGAAGGAAGGCTCAGATTCAATCAGATCATCTGCATGTGTTCTTTCCAACTCCTTGTCAGCTGAAAGCTGCTATTACGGTATAGGAGCTTAAAGGGGCAGTGTTATATATTTTCCAGGGACATGGTGCCATTTTACAGCACAGTCCAGTAACTATGTTATCTTCAGTTGTTATAAAAATGTGATGTATATCAAATATGGCTCCATAATGTAACAGCTTGAAATTAAGCCCCTGTCTCTTTAAAAACTCCTGCTCTTTCTGAAACTCCACCTTCAGGACGTCATTGCAACAAGGCTCCTATATTAACCCTTTAACAATGTTTTCACCAGAGTTGCACTGAGAAGTAGCTCCTATAATGAACTTAGCAGATCTGCAGATGCACCTGGAGTTTGCTAATTGCTGCTGGCTAGTCTGAAGAGTCACAGGGAGGGCTGCTCTGAGGGAGGGAAGCCTGGAAACTGCAGCTCTGGGGAGGAGCTGGGCTTTGAAGGCAGATCCACCAGGTGTTTTGCACAGCAGAATGGTTGCCATGGAGATTAAAATATTTCTCAAACATTCATAAAAGAATCAAGGAATAAGATTAAAACATGCTGTAAAGATTTAATGTGATAAACATCAGACTTGTTGGGATGAGTTGACTGAAAGGCTCTCTGAGTGATCTGGTGTGTCGCCTTTGCTTACTTTACATTTCACTCACTGCATGTTGGTTTGGATTGTGGTTTTTCCAAATCAGCGATCCAGATGCTTTGGTGCGCTGAACATCTTCAAATGTGAGAACTAAAAGCTGTTTATTTTTCCTCCAGATCTCCAAAGCCTCCGGGGACCTTATGCGCTACTGCAGGGAGCATGAGAAAACCGACCCCCTCATCGTGGGCATCCCGGCTTCAGAAAACCCCTTCAAGGAGAAGAAGCCCTGCACTTTATTGTAGTGGAAGCCCTCTAGCCTTGTCTATTTTCTTCTGCCTATTAATGTTGCTGAGTTGCTCATGTTGGGAGGGGTGAGAGGGGATCTGTGATCACATCATTAGGTGTTTTAACAGTTGGTGCAGAATGCCGTGCAGCAGCTCCCGCTTGGGGGATTTTGACCAAAACTACTGACCTGCCACTGTTCAGGGTGAACTTCAACCGCTTCAGAAATCTTTGTCTGCGTGGGTTTCATAAAGTCATCATAAAGTCTAAATCTTATTTTCTAATTCTTCTACCAGTAAAAGCAGCATTCAGTGATGGGTTTGCTCTGTCAGTTCATCCAGTGGGCAGTGACTGTTATTTGCCTCTCTGGTTTGCCTTAAATGGACGCCAAAAACCAAAGTCTCCCAGCTGGCCTTCTCTATAAAAGCTTCACATGACTGAGAGCCTCTGCAGTAGTTTTCCACGTGTAAGTGCAGCTTGTGCCACGAAATTTTTGGGATCCAAATTTCCAAATGTTGCCATGATGTATTTTAATGAGAAAGAAGCAGATAGTATTAAATCAAAGAACATGAAAACAGTATATGAAACAGCCGGTCACATCTCCAACTGACCGATGACAATCCACATTCCATTGAATATCCTGTTAGCATTTTTGTTAGTTTGATCAATTTCACATCATCTTTAAATTATTTAATAAAAAAATTGATGCACACATATCCTTCATGTTGAATACATTTTAAATCCATTCATCTTCCCAAATTTTGTGGGAAATTTGGCAATCCTGAAAATACTGAATTAATCATTCATCTCAATTTAACATTTTTTTAAAAACTCTGGATCAATGGGGATTTTTATCCTGTTAGATTAATGTAAACTAACCCCGTGTGTTGAAAACCAGCCAAACCTGAATTACTATATTCACAAGCTCCTTTATGAGTAGAGATGCCAGTTTCCAATTAAAACGTTTGATTTACAGCTTCCAATTTACAGTTCTGTGTGTGTAAACATACACACACAGCTCTGACTCTGGCTGAACAAAACTCAGCAAATGTTGCAAACCACTGTGAACTCCACTTATCAACCCACAGCAAATAACTCTAGTAGCGTCAGAACTTTGAATGCCTGTAGGAACAGGTGATGAAAGCTTTTACCTTCATTCTACCAGATGTGTTATTGGTTGAGGTGGAGGTGGGGGGAGGTGGGGATGAAGGGGTCCAACATGCCTTATCTGCTGTGGTAAATTTAAATAGTAGGAATAAAATCAGCCTTACCCATGTTTGCCTCTTATTATGACAAATCATTTTACGTGTTGTATTTTCTTTAAAAAGATAAAAAAAAAAAAAAAAAAAACTTTCTTCTTCTTCTTGCCTTCCCCACACGGATGCCTGACGCTGATCCACTGTCCTCTGCGTCTGTTTTTCTTACTTGCAGTGAATGGGGTCTGTGTCGCTGCCAATGATGATGTGGGAACAAAAGCTTAACAACACAACTGCCATGTGTTGCCATGTCTTGCCATGTGTTGCCATGTCTTCATTCAATCTGTAACTCTTGTTGTTCCATTGAGAGATTAATTTAACTGTGACCAAATGCTTTTTTTTCTTCTGTCGGATAAATGTGTTTATTAATTTACCAGCATCAGTATGGAGATTTGATGAAACTCAATAAAGTGAAACATTCCTACAGCATGATGCATTTCTTCTCACTGGACTAACGATACAGGAAGCTGACTGGGGTCTCTTATGATCCAGGCCGGCTTGTTGGCATAAAAGCTTTTATTGAAGTTGCTTAATCTCTCACACTGAAATGTTTTAACCTTTAATACGATCCCATTTATTCAGCAGTGGGGAAAACATCCTAGATTTGTCCAACTGTTAACAAATTCAACTCCAGCTGTTGCTACTTTATAAACTACTCAACCACAGGTTTACATAGACTGGATAAATAGACACATCCTGCTGTCTGATGGTAAATCAGACTAAAGTTTTCTTGCTTTGTTAGAATTATGAAAAATATTTCTGTTTTCTAATTCCACAATGACGAGAGTATGTCTGAGACTTCAAGTGACTTTATTTAATTGACTTTAATTAATTATTAAATTCAATAATAATCATTTGAACATCTAAATGTATTGAATGTAAAAAAAAAACATTTGAACACACAAGTTTAAACACAAATTAATAATAATTTATTAATTGACTACTTAATTGTTCTTGTTCTCTCTGTGGTCTCATTTCCCCTGTGCCAGAAACAGCCAATCAGGATCATACTGCTGTCAGTCAATCTCGTGTACACGCTGCTCAGACCCTCCCCTTTGCTCTCTGTTACACTACAGCTGGTTCACCTGTTTTGAATACTAATGCTAGTTAGCATGGCCACAAATAGTTTTTCTGGAATGGTAATTTGTTTCTCACAGCGTATTCATAAGCATGATTGATGGCTTTAAGTCCCTCCTCCTGGCTCTGATTGGATCTTTCTGACCGGGAGCGCTGCATCACTTCAGATGCACAGGGTAGATGTGGGTAGTAGCACAGGAAGGAGCTCCATCTCTCCATCCTCATATGATCTGCCTCACGCTGTCAGATGACTTGATGACAGGTTTAACAAACTGAGTTGTAACTTTAAGCTGAGCTCATGCTTGTCTGCAGGATTTGGTAGGAACTGATTCTGGTCCTGGAGAAATGCTGAAAAATGTTTATTTTTTATTTTTTTTGGCTGCATATTTTGCATCATTATGTTGCGAGAAAGACCAGCTGACATAATGTTCAGCTCACTATGTTTTTATTAAACTTCAAATCAGGCCCACAGCACCACATGTCATCCCCATAATGAACACTGGAGAAGACTGGAAATTCATCATTCATTTGACATCTGATCAGATCACATGTTGCTGCATCAATGTTGTCTGAAGTTGCTGTTGCTGACCTTCAGGCGCCACTTTGTGCCCGCTCACTGTGTGTGTTGGCAACATTACATGGCTCCTCCTCCAGCCTGGTGACTGAATGTCATGAGCCTTTGTGTCATCATTTCTGTTCCTCCAACAAATCACAAAGTCATCATCGTAAGAAGCTCTCAGAAACTCTACCCTGCGTTTGTAAAGTTACTGAATTTGTTTCAACAAAATGTTCCAAATGAGGTGATGCTGCTGAGATGAAGATTTATTTTAAGACTTCGTAAAAATCTTGACCAGGAGTTTCTCAGCCTTTCTGTGGACCCACTTCCTGTCATTAGAGCTCTATTCCTGTCTAATTTGGGAGCAGGAGCTTTGGCCCTCTCACCGAGGCCCTCAGCAAGCAGGGAACGCTGGAGCTAAATTTAGAACGGAGCCAAGGCCCGGTTTCCGCTACTGGAGAGCAGAGGAACTATTTTTGCTCGTCCTGGGAGTCCGCCGGGTTTCTCCGACCTTGTTCTGTCCAGCTGGAGGCGGCACACTCTGCGGTGTGTTCGGTCTTTACACAATGGGAAGATCATGCAGGATCACACTCACCACATTGTTAAAGCTGCACATGTGGTGCAGAGGATGCAGCGGGTCTCACACACAAAGCAGCAGCAGGAGCAGTGGTGAAACGTTGATGCCTCCTTTATTAAAAATCAGCAGGTTTTTTTCTTTGTTTTTTTTTTCCCCCACAAATGAGACGTGGTGATGCAGGATGAACCAGGTGTGTCTGCAGTGAGAAAACAGAAGGAAAAACCCCAAATAAAAATAGCACAAGTTGTAAAAACTTAACATTAGTTAGAAAATTATATACAAAAAGTGAACTTCAAGTACTAATGTACAAACTTGCCAATCTTCTGCTGCTGTCAAAAATGACACATTTTCACCATTCTAGTGTTTCCATTGAATAAGAAATAACATTAAAATCACGTGTGAATAAGTTTGTTCTTGCAATAAGTCATTAAAAAGCTTTTCTGGCTGAGGTGCAAGCAACAGTGAAACATAATAAGAAACAAACACGAGTTTAAGATTGTAAAAGACAAGCTGACAACAGTAAGGCAATAGAAATAGTAGACATACTGGCATTTTTTGGTTTGTTTTTTGTTCCATATAGAGATTTCCAATATTTCAGTGAGGAGAAATGAAGTTTAAATTGGTTAAAAAATGAAAACCAGGGGTAGAACCTCTCTTCTCACAACAGCATAGATTATATTTAGAAAGTAAGAAAACAATATTTATCACATCAGATGTTTGGCTATCAAGGTCATCAATATAATATATTGACTTCTGGTAATCTCTTGGATGGAAACATTGCAATTGTGAATTATTTTTTTTTTTTTACATGTGTAGCAGAAACACAGCTGGCCTTGCTGTAAGAGCAATTCAAAGCAAGCCCTGAACACTCAGTGGCCTAGTGCAAGCCCGGTGCAAACAGCCTGAATATTGGGCACCAAAATTCTCTCTGCCTGCCAGCGGGGGCCTCTGGTCCCGCTGTGTCAGTGTGTTGGAATGTGCTGTGCTGGGACAGAAGAGTGTGTGTGTGTGTGTGTGTGTGTGTGTGTGTGTGTGTGTGTGTGTGTGTGTGTGTGTGTGTGTGTGTGTGTGTGGTGTGTGTGTGTGTGTGTGTGTGTGTGTGTGATGGGCCAGGCTGCAGAGGTTCAGCTATCTAGTCTCTTCAGTTTTTCACGTCCCTACTGTAACAGTAGGTTCTCAGTTTTCCGGTCCTGTCCTGGTTCCTGGTTCCTCTTTCAGGGAATGGGGATCTCTTGATGTGAAACTGTGGCCCCTCCTGAATCTCTGCCAGCATTTTATTGATTTTCCACTTACTCTGCAAAATTGAGCTGGCCCTGGTCTGCTCATGTGCTGAAACGACCAACGCAGAATGAGAGAAATAATTAGGGCTTATTTTACTGCCTTGCAAAAAGAAGATCGAGATCCAGGATGCTTTCTTGTCGTCATCCATTCACACCAGTTCAGAAACGTTTCACTGCAACAGCTTGGAGAAAAATTCAGGAGCAGAATCTGGCTTAATTAGCTTAAAGCTTTATTTTTACGACAAGATAAAAATAATAAGATTTATGTCATTTAAACCAGAATATCTTCTCTTATAAAGATCAAAGGTTGTAACAGTAAAACAGAAACATGTCTTGGGATTTTTAGATGTCGTCTGCAGGAAACTGCGAGATGAACTGGAACCTTTGCATAAGTTGTAATCTGGCAGAGGAGGATTTTTTTATATCTTATTATGAAATGTTCTTGTTACAAGGCCAGACTCTTCCCGAATTTATTTTATATCTGGCAGTTAAATACTTCAGTAGCCTGGGAATGAGACTTTATTTTATTATCTTTGATTAATTAATTGCATGAACTTTGACATGTCAATATTTTTTGCACAATTAATCAATTCTGCTACTCCTGTAAATCCGAGAAACTTCTGCAAACCGATCTGATGGAAAAGTTTTCTGTTTTCAAGTTGTGGTTTAAATTAGTTAGGCTGTTAGCAAAGCTGCATGTCAATTTATTCAATAATTCAGCAGCAAAAAGGGTTGAAAATGTTGCCTATTTTGTTGATAGGCAACAAAATCGATCATAATCTAACCAACATTAGGTAGAAAATTATATACAAAAGACAGATCATAAAAGACTTTTACAATAAGCCTACTTTTGAAAAAATAAAAAATAAAATTAAAAAATTTTATCACATTTTTTAATAAAAAATGTGATTTTTTTATTGAAATGTAATTAAGCGATTACAAACCTTGGAATGAACTCGATTTAAAAATTCAATCCAGTTCACGCATTGAATCAATCAATCAATCAATCAATCAATCAATCAATCAATCAATCAATCAATCAATCAATCAATCAATCAATCAATCAATCAATCAATCAATCAATCACTTTCTCAGTCACCAACAGAGAAACTAGATTCAAACATCAGATTTTGTTTAGTGTCATCACTAAAATCATCACTACACATCTGATATGTTGCTCAATGTTTCATTTTTTCAGTACAAAATCAACTCTAACCCTGTGAGGTTTTGTTCCAGAGCTAAAGGAACTCAGTGTTTCAACTGTTTTGCAGTTTTCTGGAAATTTGCTCCAGATTTGTGCTGCATAGAAGCTGAAAGCAGCTTCTCCTTGTCAGGTTCTGGTTCAAACCTTGAACTTGTCCACATTTTTTTACTTTTCGTAACACGAGGCTTAAAATAACCTTCAGCCTCCGATCACAACAATACTGTGTTACATCAGAGAGCGTCACGCCCCCCCCGTCACGGGACAGGTGACCTTTCACTTGGAGCCAAACGAGGAGCGGCTGGAAGGCAGAGAAACACTTCAAGTCACTCTGAAAGGCCGGAAGGACTTTCCAATGATTTCTAAAGGCCAGATTTAGCAGGGCAGTAAGTGTCTGTATGCTGGAGGGAGAGGAATGAAGATGAATGCACAAATAATGGCTTTATGCAGCACACCAAAAATAAAAGAATATTATATCCATGATGGCAGGAAAATAACAACTGCTAAGCAGAGTTTTCTAATTGCACTTTTTATGCTTCGTGCTCCCAGTGGGTTTTGGGAAATGTAGTGAAGCAGAGTGGAAACCGAGGAAGGACAAAACCTTGTAATATTTCCAGTGAAATTTCTGGTGATGAATAACTTAGAACATTTATTTCCACTTTATATCACATACAGACATGTCAGCTCAGAACTCCATTACTCAGCATTCTGAATGAAGGTCGCTGTTTTCAAACT